CCGATAGAACTGATAAAAAAAATTCGATTGCCGACCCAATTTTCTGATTCCATGTTATGTAAAGCGAAAAATTAACTATGCGTGACTTTAAATGTGAATATGAGTCTATTATTTGATGCAGAATAAAAAATTAACTTTGCGTGGCCTTAGAGTCGAATCTAAAAAAAAAAAAAAAATCAAAAAATACTTTATTAGTTATTATTTAAACGCATAGATAATAAACGCTACCATAAATCTCTGGATTATTGTTATAATCAAAAAATTTTACACCACTGCCGCGAAAGTAATTGAATTCTTCATATGGTAAATTATCATAAGCTGTATTCTTTTCCATCTATTTGTTTTAACCAAACAAGAAATTTACAAAGAAAATCTTCAAGCTCACTGATTTGGTTATGCTTTGAAATAGTATTTTTACAATTGGATATTTCTCTATATCTGTCAGCTGCTTGTAACCATTTTGCTATACATTTATCTGTATTATGTACTCACGAGAGCTTAAGAAATTTTGAAACATCTTCGTCTGTTGGTAACAGACATGTGCTTTTGCTATCATACACATGTATCCATCACATCATGCCTGATAAGAAGAAATTATGTGGTTTATATTTAATTAATATTTTTAACTTTATGTTTGTATGACTTCATATGGGCCAATTTGACGCATGTGTCGATCATTTTGTTGTGACAAAATTGTGATATATTAAAAAACAATAATCACACCTATTTTTAGTATCATTTATTATGACGACTTCTAGCTTATATTCTTGTGGTTTTTGCTCAAAAACTTATATTCATAAAGGCTCATTAAAGACTCATGAAACATCAAAACACAAAAACAATAGGTTCCTTCATAATCAATATCCTCTTTATATTCCTCTTTTTTCTGATTGCCAACAATTTTGCTCAACCTTTATAAATCTTGTACAAAAGCGGTTAACCTCTCACCGCTCTACTCAAGGCCTAAAGCTTATAGAATTTCCCTGTTCAGAAAATATTTTTGCATTTTATTTTCGAAATGAAGAAAATTTCCAATATATACACTACCAAAGAAAATATAATTGTATATTTAAAGGTTTACAAGGATATCAAAGAATCGCGAAGTTGTTCAATTTTGAAGAGTGGGGAAAAACAATTGACAAAACGGGTACAGAAACCTATGTAGTTTTTAATCAAGTAAATTTAAATAACAATACAATTGAGGAAAAAGAGACTAAGTTTTGTTGGAAAGAAAAAGGAAAAATTTTTAAATATGGAATTATAACTTTTATTTTTGAAATCAATACTGAAACTATCGAAATTGTTGATGAATGACTATAAATTCGGTATGTAGCTAAAAATTATTTAATTGCTTTTTTATATAATTATCTTAATAAAATAATTTTATTTATTATTAATGAAGCTAAAGCCGTTTAGATATAATCTTTATATATATAAAATAGATTTTATTTTTCGATGTATTTGATATATTAAAATTTTAACAAATACATTTTGTATTAATCAGAGAAATTATATATATATATTTTTAAAAATTGAAAATTTCAAAATATAGTTTTAATATTGTTTGACCAAAAATAGAGTTCGACTTCGTACAAAAAAAAAAAATAATCATACCATTAGTGAATCCTTATTTTTGCCAAATTTTAAATGCTTCTTTTTATTTTCATAAATGTTTGTGCCTATGCCAAATGGTTTATAACTGTATAATTAGATGTCAATAGCTAAACTGATTCAAAATTCTTAAAAGTAATGTAAGTAGGGATGGGAACAGTCGGCTATTTTTAGCTACAGTAGCTATGTGTAGTTAGCTGTATCTCGTAATCCGGTAATCTAAATTGGATCAATTTAGTATCAGTCGATTCGTCTCATTGAGGCAAATTGAATGGTACAGACTAAATTCATCCAATTTGGATTACCAGATTACGAGATATAGCTAACGGCTACAAAACAGCTAGCTGAAAATGGCCAGTCATTCCCATCCCTAAATGTGAGCAATATATGATACCTAATATCTTCCTTGGCATTATTCAAGTCAAATAGTCGATTTAGAAAATTGAATGATCAAGGGTGTACTGCTTATAAAAATTATGAATTACAACCTATTTCGCACAATCTGAATCAGTAATTTTTTAATAATATTCATTATGACTAATATAATTATCGCTTCAACCATACCTTAACTGTATTTTATATAATCCCTAACTACGTTTTAAACCTTCTAA